CCTAAGAACAGATACTAAACCAAAAGGAGCCAAAGAAACCAAGAGAGATCGAGGAAGGAATTCAGAAAGGAACAAAAAAATTAGGGAGACGGAAATATAAAATAATGCTTCTCAATACTGCTGGTATCCTACAAGCAGAAGGGGAATTCAAACAGAACACACCTGCAGATATAGTCAATCCAGGTTTAGGACTACACAGAAATTTACTACTTTGAACATCACGGAAGGAGATATTCCTACTTTAAAGGGGCATTGTTCAGAAGAGCGTGCTTAGGTTGATGCTATGTTATCAGAAATACACTGACACATCTGGGGGAGAAAGTCAGGGAAATGGATCGTTATCTCTGCGTTGGTTGTGTGCGTAGGAAAAATTTGAAGGCCCAAAGAGGTACATACAACCGGTAGGTCTGATGTTCAGCGACTGCTTAATAACAAGACAATCATCTGCAAGCATTTGAGGACAAGACCAAAGAATGGTGAGTAATGCTAGTGTATACAAAACTCACAACAGTGAGTAATGCTACTGTACACACAGTATGTAATGAGACATTTCAAACAGGAGAAAAATTAGGATGGGTCGAAAGCTCTTCCAGAAACAGCCAGCACACTGTAACACCCTCCCAGAGAAAACCGCAAAAAAAAGAGATGAAGCAAAAGCAGAAAGAAGCCATCAAGTACAGGGAAGAACAGTATTCAAGGCAATAACAGCACGGATTAGGTGTACGGAACATGGCTTTTCCAGTTTTAGTTTTTGTGTTGGTTCATTAGAAGACTTGAATTCTGGAATAATTATAAAAGGTTAAATCCTCTTCACGTTCAGGCCTTATCAGTCAGACTCGCTGTTAACACAACACTTTGAGCCTCGGTCAATCACCAGCAGTCTCCCAGGGAGCTGCGCGCACTGCCGGCACGAAGGGCTCCTGGCCACTAGTGCTTCAGCAGAAGCCAGCTCTTCTCCCACTGCCACCAGGAAACACTCACTTGAATATTGTCACAAAAGCGGCTACCCTCCAGCTCCAGCGCCAGCCGTAGCGGATGAAACTCCTGAGACCAGCACGATGCGCCGATTGCTGCAGGAGAGAGAAGAGGAGGTTACAGACCACAGCCCTCCTCCTCCTCGCCCGCACCACCAGCCCGCTGCCATCTGGGGTACTCGCGACGGGTCGTGGGACTGGTGTCGCTTGGGAATGATACCCTGACCCTTAGGGATCGAGTCGGTCATCTTCAGAGGAAAAGCCGCTCACGTTTACCCCAGCCACCACCACGGGGAAAACTGAGAATTACTTCCAGTTTGTAACGTCAACTGGTCTTTCTAATCCTGGTGCTGAGACACATCTGGGGGGACGGGGAGAGCTTTCTGAGGGCAGTACAGGAGAGCAGCAGAGAAGAAAGCAGGGACAAACTAGAAACTAGTTCTTCATTATTATAAGTTCATAACTAGCACTAAATAATAACCATTAATAAATAATAACCATAATAAGTAAATAATAACCACCTACTTCAAACGTTAAGAGACCATCAAGCTCTGCGGTTTAGCACTGGTGCTTAAAAGTTTGGCAGTAAGCGGCTTTTAAAAAGATGCGATAAGCAGAAGCTTCATAAAAATTAAAAATATTCCAGTTAATACCACGAAAGAAAATAAATTCTCTCTTCCAGTGGCTGCAGTGTAAGGGCTTAGCCCGGGTGCAGACACACAAGGCAGTCAGCAGAAGGACAGAGCGAAGCCAGGCACCGATACTTTGCAGGCCGCTACGTCGGGGCCAAATCTAAATAGCGGGGCCAAATCTAAATAGCGAATGGTGTAAAATTAGGCAGATTTTTAAAGGTTTTTTTTTTTTCCTAATAATCCAGGTAACCAACACTTCAATCGAAGAACAAAGCCCCAACACACCTACAAAAGGTCACAGACGTCCTTTGTTGCGAGGTGTAGTGGTAAGCTAAAAGAATTTTAAATGGCCTCAAAGTAACTCGCACGGACAGGAGGACACCACCAGTTTGACGCTGTGGAGTGAAGCCTCTAACACACTAAAACTGAAAAGCCGAAGGACTTGTCAAGACGTGCTGAAGACAACTGGGAGACAAATGACCCCCTTAACGCCCGCGCAGAGCTGCCTGCTCGGCACCGCCCTGCAACCAGGCCCTTCGGCCTCCTGCGGACCCCTCTGC